TGGGATCTACTGAGAGTTGTGTACTTGCTCGAGGTTGGGAGCGAAACAAGCTGGTGGTGCGATCTTCATACTCCAGCTCTAGGCATGGGAGCATCTTCCATTTTTCGCACCTCGAGACCCACGGGAATTCTGTTTGCCAGATGATGAGCTACGATTTGTAGCAAATCCCCCATATGGTTTCAAGTAAGTTAAATTTAAGTTTAATTTATTTTAGATATGCAATGGTAGTATTTTAGTGAATTTAGATCTATTCCAAGTAAGCGAATTTAGATTCATTTTAAGTATGCAATTATAGTATTTTAGTGAATTTAGATTGATTCCAAGTAAGCGAATTTAGATTCATTTTAAGTATGCAATTATAGTATTTTAGTGAATTTAGATATATTCCAAGTAAGCGAATTTAGATTCATTTTAAGTAAGTGAATTTAGATCGATTCCAAGTAAGCGAATTTAGATTCATTTTAAGTATGCAATTATAGTATTTTAGTGAATTTAGATCTATTCCAAGTAAGAGAATTTAGATTCATTTTAAGTATGCAATTATAGTATTTTAGTGAATTTAGATATATTCCAAGTAAACGAATTTATATTTATCCTAACCAAATCGTATTGAGCGAATTTAGATTATTGCCAAGTAAGGAAATTTAGTTCAATTTAGATGCTTCCATAAAATCATACTTAACAAGTAAACATCTATGCTTTAAAAATTGCTTATATACGTACTTTTGCTTAATTAGGTGGATCGGAGCAAATACAAACGATCACCAGCCCGAGCACTCTTTACTGTTTTATCGTGCTGAATTTGATAAGCCTTGATGGAACCAGGTAAAAATATAAAATTTCATCATTTTCAATTTTTTAGGTGGAATGGATATAATTTGTACTAATTCCATGAACTATAATGATTGTAGGCAGTATGGGATCCATATCCAAATGAAGTGGTTGAGTTGCATCATCTTAGACATCCCGAGGATGAAGAGACATGGTTGTGTAAGGTGCCCTTAATCTGCTGGCACATGGTGGAATGGCACCTGCCCGATCTATCTTTGAGGCAATATCGATTGGAGCAACCAATTCCAGCATCCCCACCTCAAGGGTTCAGGGAGCTCCACGCCATCGACCTACGCTACACCAAAAAGGATTGGGTCCGCAAGCATGAATTCTACATCAACATATGATAGAATAGAGATCAGTGGATGATCCAAGGGGTGTCGCAGACGAGGCCAATGGGGTACCACGATGGGTACATGCGGTGGTATCGGAAATTCACGCTAAGATGGGTGTCAAAGCAAGGTGCTGTTTGGGGCGCAGTGGTAAGTGAAATCCATTTTCCCCTCTTTGTCTTAATTTTTTGTAGTATGATTACATGCATATATTAGCTAGAATGTTAATTAACATTCTTAGATTTAATTTAGTTAATTTTGTACAAAAATTTAATAGGTTGACGGTTTGGAACATGCCAAGCACACTATCGAGAGTGCACCCACCATGGATGAGCGGAAGACATCTTTTTTGGTGAGGCTTTTCAACAACCTGCTCTCTTGTACCCGAGAGCAAAGGAGGGATGTCGTATTATACCCTCCAATGCCTGCTCCGGCCCGACCTTCATTTCGTGATGATGAGAGGATCGTGCCCCCACAAGAGCCCCTGCGGAGGAGCAGAAGAAGGGTGTGAGCCAACATTGAAGAGCTTCATCCGACTCAACAAACTCAACTTCCTGAACCATGGCCACATTGTGAGTGGTCAACTAGTAATGAGGGAACCGGAGGGTTGTCAAGCTATGCCCCGACTCAGGAACATGACATGTTTACCCAAGGCATCCCTCACTTCTACCATCAGCAGCAAACTCCGATGTATCAGACCCCGCAACAAAAACATACAGCATCGACTTTCTACCACGCTTTCGGTTCATCTCAGCCACCTCCACCACCACCACCACCACCACCTGTGTACACTCTGGTGGGGGGTCGGGTTAAGAGGAATCCGTGAGCAGTTGTCCAGCGGGCTCGCGAAGAAGGAGGAGGTGTAGAAGGCGGAAGAAGGGGTCGAGGACGTCGTGGAGGACGAGGAAGAGGAAGAGAAGGGGAAGTGGAAGGAAATGAAGAAAACCAGTGAACTATCCATGTTTAGCTATGTCTTGTGTTGTTTTCCATGAACTATCTATGTCGTCTTAATTTAGTTTGGTCTTGTGTTGTTTTCCATGAACTATCTATGTCGTCTTAATTTAGTTTGGTCTTGTGTTGTTTTCCATGAACTATCTATGTCATCTTAATTTAGTTTGGTCTTGTGTTGTTTTCCATGAACTATCTATGTCGTCTTAATTTAGTTTGGTCTTATTTTGTATTTTACCACCCATGTTGTACCAAGATAAACAACATCCATCATCATTACAATCACTCAACAAGATTAAAATAAGAAGTCCAACTTAAACATCACAACAACGAAAATGACAATTAAATGACAATGAAAATGTCTTCACTTGTGAAGCCGGCGGAGGCGACTTGGACTGGCTGGATGCCCCTGTCGGAGTTTGACATGACCGGAACCATTACCCACGTCGACACCCTATACTTCTACAACAAAGCCTCCATCTGCTCGCTACTAAACGACGCCGCTGATCTGGTGAACCTGTTGACGGACTCCCTAAGCCGAACGTTGGTCGCATTCTACCCGCTGGCCGGCTGGCTGCACCCCATCGGCAGTGGTAGGTTGGAGCTGGACTGCAATGGCAGTCACGTTCAGTTCATCGAGGCGGAAGCTGAAACGACGTCGCTGGATCAACTGTTGGGGTTATTTGGCGGTGACGTGTCGCTGGATCAACTGTTGGGGTTATTTGGCGGTGTTGGGGTTATTTGGCGGTGCACTAGTACGGAATTTCTACCGTTGGTACCGACGGTGAGATACGGTACTCTTCCGATCGGCGAGTGGCCTTTGGTGCTGGTACAGCTCACTAGGTTTAGTTGCGGCGGGATCTGCCTCGGTTTCAACAACTCCCACGTGGCGGTTGATGGGCTGGCTGGCCTGCACTTCCTCCACGAGTGGGCCCGCATGGCCCGCGACGAAGGTGTGGTTACGCCGCCGTTTCTGGATCGGAGGGTTCTGCGGGCAGGATTGCCGCCACTTGCTAGGCTGCCCATATTTGATCCTGCCCAGTTCCACCGCCCGCCGGTTCTGCTTCCTGAAGCGGGTTGCTCCGGTGATAATGGTACACATCGTTTTAATATATATATATATATATATTTGTGTGTATATATAGGTGAGTTGTAGACTTTTAATTGTTCCATGTTTAAAACATAATACTATTATTTTTTTGGGTTGATATTTTCTTATGGCCTGAACTTTGACCAAAATAAACATGCTGGCCAATCTTTTCGATCTATAACATCCTGGCCCGAACTATACACCAAAATAAACAATTTGGCCAGATCCGACTTTTGACCGTTAACTTGGACGGTCAAACGCGTTGACCGTTAGTCAACGCGCCATGTCACTGCCAAGTCATCATAAAATATTTTAAAAAATTCACAATTTCCACACATTCCCTAATTTTAAATTATTATAAATTAAAAAAATCATCTAATACCTTTGTTAAACCAAAAATAAAAAACGAAAAAATTAAATATTTATCAGATCTTCTGACTTGGCAGTGACGTGCGCGTTGACCGTCAGTCAACGCGTTTGACCGTCTAAGTTAACGGTCAAACATTGGGTTTGGCCACATTGTTTATTTTGGTGTATAGTTCGGGCCAGGATGTTATAGATCGAAAAGATTGGCCAAGATGTTTATTTTGGTCAAAGTTCGGGCCATACGAAAATATTAACCCTATTTTTTTATCTTAAAACATAATGCTATTATATATGGGAGAGGATAGGTACAAAACCTTATCCTACAAAGCTACTACAAAATCCAATCTATCAAACATAATTTTCAACAAAAAAAGATTTGGAGCACACCGGTAATTCGCCAACCTTTCGTTTTTTTTGCTGACAGCTTGACACGGATTTAGAGGAGATAATGTAATTTTTCTAGTTTTTTTATTTTTCATAACCAGATCATAGATAATTCGTTTGAACTTCTTTTTTTCATAGAAATAACGCATTAATTATGATCTACACATTGATATCCATTTTGCTATTTTTGAGCAAAGAAAAAATAACTTCTTCAAAACACGTCTCGGTTGTAGTATTATCACTGTCATATTGATCATATCATCATGATATGACAATCATATGATGACCCATTTCAACTCGAAGTATGAAAAAAATGGGATATTTATAAGGTTGGTTACTGAGATTATAAAAAACGTTCATGTTTAGTCACTGAAAATATTTAATTCCATTTGTGGTCACTAGGATTAGTCAAACATTCCAAGTTTGGTTTGTTAGTCTCCGTTCAACTCTGTTAGAACCGTTAGTCATTTGCTGACGTGGCTATAAGGGTGGGGAAAAGGAAACGGGTATTTGGGTGTACTCATACCCGTCCCTTTTTGAAGAGTTATAGGTACCCAAATACCCGTAATTTTTATACGGGATGGGACATGGGATCGATAATTTCTATATTGGGTACCCGCGGATTACCCGTTAATATCTGTTTGAGTAGTACGTAGAGGTGGCAAATGGATTGATCCATGGATCAAATAGATTGTATTCATGGATTGGATCAAGTGGATTGGTGGATTATCCATGAATCCAAATAACATCCTCAATCAATGACCAATATGTAAAATGTGAAAAGTTTAGGTACTAAAATATCATAATGAAAATTTTTTGGGAGTTAATGCACAATGTAGCCCTGAACTATCACTTTTTCTTATCCAAGCCCTCTGACAATTTATTTTCCTATCTAGGTTCCTTAAATATTTTATTTTTCCTAATCCAGCCCAGCCGTCAATTTTTCTGTCAATATGACGTTAATACAAATCAAAAGGACAAAATTGCTCTAATAAATTTTGAAGAGAAAAAAATACCAAATATAGAAAAACCCCACGTTTAACCTAACATGAACCCGCCGTTACTCTTTTCCTACGCAAATAGAGAACTCTCTATCCCTGCGCTCAGCGCTTCGTCTTCTTGGCTGAATTTCCATTGACGGCGCCGGTTGAATTTTCATCTCCGACATTGGACTTCGGAACGTGGTGGTCTTCCCTAGCTCCTCTCTCTGGTTCGTCCTATTTTTATTTGTTTCTTCCGTTACCCATGAATCATGCCTTCCAATCTTTGTGTTGCTCTCTGTACACCTTGGTCTTTTGTTTTCTCTGTGAGTTGTCTCTATGTCAATAGTTTATTATTATTGTTATATAAGGCTGGATCAAATTAATAATTTAATATTAACAATTGCAGGTTTCTTAGATAGAGATTATGGGGATAACGCTTGTGTACCATGTTAGGGGGAAGTTTGTCCGATCTGGGCAGCATGTAGTGTATGATGGAGAAGACATTGAAGGGATAGACCCTGATGAGCTGAACTCAATGGATCTGGAGCATTATATTATGAAGACAATTATCGGGGGCTTTCAGCTGTTCTATGAAGGTCACGGGGAAAGGGAAGTGCCTGGATTTAAATTGCTATCAAGTGATGATAGTATAAGAGACATGTTAGATCTATACAAAGATCGTGAAGTGTATGATTTGTATGTGAAGCATGATATGTCTTATTCCGAAACTTTGGGTGGAGTAGAAGATGAAGGAGCTGTAGTAGTAACTGAAGAAGCTCCTACAAGCTTGGGTGATCCAGTTTCAAGTGGAAAGCAACAAGATTTGATAGAAACAAGTGAAGAAATAGATTTGGCAGATTCTAGTGATGAAGATTTGGGTGAACAAGGTCAGTTTTTAAGTATCGGCTAGGATAATTATTGAGTGTGATTTATATCTATTGTGCCTCTTGTGGCTGTTTACAAGAAATAATCAAGTGTGTTCTAATCTTGAATACAATTAACCTACAAAATGCAGATAAACCACGAGCTTCCGAGGAGATTCTCTTCGATGGTTTTGAATTTGGAAGTGATGCAGACGATGATGAAGTTCAAGAACTGAGGAAGAAGGTTGAGAAGGTCGAAGAAAGAGTGAGGAAAGGGATAACACCCATCACATATGCGCATAGTTTGTACTACTCAGATTCTGATCCCGATCCAGGATATGACAGGGTAGGAGATGAGGGTGAAACTGAAGGTTTTGATTCTGATGACATTGGTAGCTATGATGACACAGATGTAGATGATGAAATTGCAGATCATGGTGTTCGGAGGAAATCAAGGTTTGTCCGATATAACAAGGACACCGATAAGCCATACTTTGAGTTGGGGATGGTGTTCACAGATATATATGAGGTTAGAGTTGAAGTGAACAAGTATTCCATCAAAGAATGAAAGGACCTGAAGTTGAAAAAGAATGAGAAGAAGCGGTTGAGAGCCGTGTGTAAGTTTGCAGGTTGTGCCTTTGAGTTCTTTGTCAGTTTTGATAGGACAATAAACCGACTACAAGTGAAGACATTACAACAGCACACATGTCCTCAACATTGGAGGAATAGGAGGGTCAGGGCTGAATATATTGCAGAGAAATACAAGAGAATTATAAGATGTAATCCTCTAATGAAGATTAGAGAACTGCGTGCTATAATTAGAGAGGATGTAGGGTCAGATGTGTATGGTTCTCTTGTAGGACGTGCTAAGAAGCTAGTGTTGCAGAAAACTGCAGGGTGTTATGCTGATGAATTTGCTCTCTTATGGACGTATGCGGAGGAGATGAGGAAGGCAAATCCTGGAACAACTGTTAAGATCCAGGTAGATCGTGGTAATCCAGATAATAAACCCATTTTTCAACGCATGTACATTGGGTTCGCTTCACTTCGGAGGGGGTTCCTTGAAGGTTGTCGGCGAGTTATTGGTTTGGACGGTTGTTTCTTGAAAGGGTTATGCAAGGGTGAGTTATTGGCTGCAATAGGCCGAGATGCAAACGACCAGATGTATCCTGTAGCTTGGGCTGTTGTTGAGGTGGAGTCAAAAGATTCCTGGTCTTGGTTTTTGGAACTATTGGGTTCTGATTTGCTCTTGGAAAATGGAGTAGGTTGGACTTTGATTTCAGACCAACAAAAGGTACGATGTCCAAAGAATGATCTTATGCTTTTTGGTTGCTCTTTTCGTTCTTTGTCTTTACTATTTGTCCTATGTAGATATATATGAATGTGGCGAAGAGCCTAGTAACGGTGAGTTGACATGGCTGGTCTTTTCAGGGTTTAATTCCAGCCATAGCAGATCTTTTACCAATGCCGGAGCATCGTTTATGTGCACGTCATATTTTTTGTAATTGGAGGAAAAAGTACAAAAATCCAGAATGGCAGCACATTTTTTGGGAATGTGCCAAGTCTCCCACAGTCATCAAATTCAATCAAGCTTATAAAAAGTTGGAGTCCATAAACAAGCAAGCGGCGGAGGACATGGTTCGTGTTCCAAAAGAGCAATGGTGCAAAGCTTTCTTCTCAACGGCGGTGAAATGTGACTCCGTCGACAACAACATGTCAGAGACATTCAATGCAAGCATTCTTGAGGCGAGACATAAACCACCTTATAGCTTGTTTGATGACATTCGACGTCTCACCACTGAGCGAATTGTGAAGAAGCAACAAATGGCTGGTAAATGGAAGAATGAGATATGCCCGGAGATAATGAAAAAGTACCAGACTAACGCCTACGAAAGCAGGATGTGTCGCGTCATAACTTGTGGGAATCAAGAGTATGAAGTTGATCATGGGGAGGAGAGGTACAAGGTCAAGATTGGGCAAAAGTCATGTACATGCAGGACTTGGGATTTGAGTGGAATCCCTGGCCCGCATGCGATCACGTGTCTTGTCTGTGAAGGAAAGGATCCGATCACTTTCATTTCAGAATGGTATTCTATAGCCAAGTACAATAGAACATACTCTAACACAATGCCAGGGATGGAAGGACCAAGACAATGGTTTCCTGTTGATTTGGAGCCAATTCAACCACCGACTTACAGGCCTATGCCTGGTAGGCCAAAGAAGAAGAGAAGGTTGACAGCCGATGAACTGCTACAAAAACACAAGACAAGACCAAACAAATTAGGCAGGATGGGGCGTATCATTATTTGTTCCAAATGCAAATGTGAATGTCATAATTCACGCACCTGCACTTTGAAAGAGGTTAACCTAAGAAATCGAGTTGGCTAATTATTATGTGATTGATTTGCTCATTCTTTATTCTAGTTTCTTATATGGAGGGTGTGTGTGTGTGTGTGTTTTTTTCCATGGTAACAGGGTTCCAGTTCTATTACTTCTGCTAATGCTAGTGCTTCAGGTGGAACAATAAGAGGACAAGAAAGAGGCGTTGGTGCTCGTGCTACTGGTGCTTCACGTGGAAGGAGAAATGGACAAGTAAGAAGAGTTGGTGCATCACGTGGAAGAGGAAGGGGGAGGAATGACTCAAATGGATGATGCTTATTTTTTTGTTTGCACTAGATGATGTTGGTTTTGTCACCACTCACCACTAGATACTGTCAACCAAGTTTAAATTAATTATGATTATGTATTCTCAATTCTTAATTAATCATGGTTATGCTTTTTCCCGTTGATGATGGTTATACTTTTTTACACTATGCATCAACTAGTTTTTACAGAAGCTTGTGAATAAGAGACACAATAGAATTCCCCATAGCATTCTATACGATGGGTAGTAACTAAGTGCTGAATTTGAGTTGACAACAACGGCGAGATATAGAAGAGAATATCAAGCCCGCTGCCAGTCCGGTTTTCCGAACTGGCCATGGAAACAGGAGAAGACAATCACAGAGGTGGAGAGTTCTGAACTTCTGATAGGAAATGAGTAAAGCAGTGGGGGCCGGGTTGTAAAACGTGAGGCTTTGTTTTTTTTAAATGATTTTCTCTTTAAATTTATTAAGGACAATTTTGTCTTTTTCTATTTCTATTAACGTCAAACTGTTAGAAAAGTAACGGCAGGGCTGGATTAGGAAAAATAAAATATTTAAGGAACCCTGATAGGAAAATAAATTGTTGGAGGGCTTGAATAGGAAAAAGTGATAGTTCAAGGGCTACATTGTGCATTAACTCAATTTTTTTGGTACCAAAACATAATTTTCCCATGATATTTTTCGTATAAAAAATCCGTTAGAACCGTTAGTTATTTGCTGACGTGGCTATAAGGGTGGGCAACGGGAAACAGGTATTTGGGTCTACTCATACCCGTCCCTTTTTTAAGAGTTATAGGTACCCAAATACCCGTAATTTTTTATACGGGATGGGACTTGGGATCGATAATTTCTATATTGGGTACCCGCGGGTTACCCGTTAATATCCGTTTGAGTAGTATGTAGAGGTGGCAAATGGATTGATCCATGGATCAAATAGATTGTATTCATGGATTGGATCAAGTGGATTGGTGGATTATCCATGAATCCAAATAACATCCTCAACCAATGACCAATATGTAAAATTTGAAAAGTTTAGGTACTAAAATATCATAATGAAAATTTTTGGGTACCAAAACATAATTTTCCAATGATATTTTTCGTATAAAAAATCAAATTTTGGGTACCAAAATGTAAAATATAAAAAAGTATAGGTACCAAACCGTAATTTGCCATTTGGATTCATGGATCAATCCATGAATCCACCAATCCAATTGAATTTGGATAAAATGGATTGGATTTATATGGATTGAATTAGGTGGATATTTTTAATGGGTTGGTGGATTGGATTGAGAATTGCCACCTCTAGTAGTACGGTTACCTGTAATACCCATTAACAAAAATTCTCTATTTAAGACTAGACTCATAGACATAATCACGTAGATAATAAAAGGCCATCATGAATCTCTTCCAGATTATCATCCTAGTAAGAAAATGAATTGTTACAACCGAATGAGTAAATGCCGAGTCCTAAACTTGATAATAGGCATAATAGGATTCAAGGCAAGGTTTTTCTTCTTGTGGGGGATGATAGTTGTTTGTATTAAGCAGTTGAGGGTAGTTTTAATACTTAACCCATCCATCTTTAGCAACCAATATTACTGCTCCCTTCTCCTAAAACGTCTTTCTTTTTCTTTGATCTTTAATTGTGAGTGAATTTGATGATAGTTATTAGTTTTCAGTGGCAGTTTACTTGCTTATGTCTTGTGATTTAGATGTTATCATGTGTCGTCTTATGTTTTTGTTTGAATTGTGATCCCCCACAATTGGAATGGAGTTTGCTCTCCAAATGGGATTGGATACCGTTTCAAATGGGACAGGTGTCCCGTCACGTCTCGTTGTCCACCCCTACGTGGCTAACAGACTTGTCTAGTCACCTATTTTTGACTTAAAAAAATAAAATCCGATCTTGACACACCATAAAAGCCTAACCAATTGACCCATTAAACCATTATCGGACCCCAAATTAAAACCCAAGCAGCTGACATGGGGAGAGTTATGTTTGGATATGGACTTGGAGATGGGGGAGCTTCAGAATGGTAACAACGACGAGGGTGCATCATGTCTGATATCTTATTCGAGTCGAGCGAGTCGATAAGGAGGAGGCCGACGAGCTGATTCAAAGAGCTCCCGAGATTCATTAGAATGATGGGAGATTCACCGAAGCAGCAACCGAAGAAATCAGGGTGATGCCCACTGGGAAGTTAGGGCAGTTGAAATTTGGAAAAGTAGGGAGAAGCAATCACATCGATGAAGAGGAAGACGATCCATTGTTGGGAGAAGGAGGAGAGTCCACTCCTGTCGCCAGCGATTCACAGCCGAATGATCTGAATCATCCCTAACCACATTCCTCGGCTACTTTGCTGCTCTACTTCCTAAATCTTTAGACGAACCACATCGTCCTCATCTCCCTCTGTCTCTAGATACTACGACAAATTCGGCCTATTATGATGAGACAATTTTGTCACATTAGGTTTAATATGACAAAATGTGTTGTTACAAAGGTTTTTCATTTTATTGTCGTCCGGATAGGTCAAATGTGATAAATTTAAAACAAGGTTATCACATGTGCTTTCAGTATAGTTGAGGTTCTGGGTAGTCTATTGTGACAAATAAAGATGTTATGACAACATATTTTGTCATTACAGTTGTCATAATCTGATGATTTTGGGAGAATTATTCGTCATATTACACGATTATATTTTGTCATAACTATATATTATGACGATTACATTTTGTCACAAGTGTTTATTGTGACAACATTATTTTGTCATAACTCAATATTATGACGAATATATTTTGTCATAGTTGCACATTATGACGAGTATAGGTTGTCCGTAAAGGTGGTTTATTTGTCTCATGTCTAATATGACAATAGAATAATTTTTCAGGAAAAGTAAATAATGTGAAGACATGTCATTGTTATCATATTTGACGTGCTTCAAAAATTTCATATTCGAAATTGTTTCTTGCATTGCAACCTGATAATGGGAAACTTACCAAAGATCCAAAACATTACAACCATTTTCATAGCAGCTCTAACTCATCGTTCAACATAACCAAACATTCTAAATTGTCCACAATGACACAAACCATTCTAACTCCTTTGCGGATCTTGGGTTATCCTTCGGTCCATACTTCACCTTTTTTTCCGAACCTTCTTAACAGTCTCACGGCCTTATACAAGTTTCCCCTCTGCCTTTGCTTCTATCCAAATGGACTACATTGTCGGGCTTTACAGTGAAGATCATCAGCAATGAATCTTTGCATGGGAGGAATCCAGATCATCGGCAAAGTACCCTCTATTCAGATGAATCTTAAGGAATTAAGAAACGACTAAGAGAACTCTTTCCCTAGTCTCACTTATGATTTCAGAAGGATCCATTTCTAAGCCTTGGCAGTATTAAGTCATAATAACAAGAATCAACACTCTGAGGAAGAGGAGAAACAAAAACGATCATCTTTATCAATGTCGACAAAGTTTGCATCAGCAGGATTATTAGTACTATATTTGCCACATTCATGGTAAGGATTGGCAGCTTTTGGACAATTTGGATTTCGAACTCTTCATTCTCCATCAATCTTTCTGATATACTGAACTTGTTTGACACTTCTTGGACTATCTAGAATGAATGGAAGCAATTGAATAGGGGGGGGGGGGGGGGGGGAGGGAAGAAAAAGTCATGAACTTTCCCCGAAATCAAAACATCTTGAAAATAGTGAGATAAACCAATATCGTTGCTTGATGACGGGTGGTATGAATATTCTAAGAAGTTCTAGAAGCCATATGCTTCAGAGACTTAGACTACATGAACATACAAAAGAAAAAAGGCTTTAGAAAGAAGTCTGTAAAAAAGCTACCTGACTTCTTATGGCTCATAGACTTTCGAGTTATTCACAAGCCACACCATCCAAATCAAGCGTAAAGCTTAACCCTTTAGAGAGCCACCTAAACATGAAATTGGAGGTGGAAGATTCAGCAGGCACAGTGACGGTCCATTCAATTAGGTTATTAAAAAAAAAATATGAAGGTCAAACACCACGTCTAAACTACCCTACCCAAACAAATACCCTTGACATATAAAACAATTCTCTGCATCCCCAAATCAGGAATGAAAAGATTTTATTCTCTTCCCACTGAACATATATAAACAAAGTCGACATCACTCATTAGAAACTATTGCCAGAAAAAGAAGAAAAAAATGAATAGGCTTTCCTAATCTAACAAGTCTTTTTTCCTCAACCCTTTTCCAAAGCAATCAAACCGAAAAAAACCTAGAAACAAGATTTGCTTTTACTGCAAATTTTGTCGATCACAAGCTGGAAAAACAAATAAAAAAGCAGCGGGAAGAAGGTGTACATATCAAGAACATAGAACAATGATAACAGTCTTAGAGCTCAATCACACGGCCTCAGCCACCAGTAGAGTCGATGTCCAATCCGATAATCTTATTTTTGCCATCAATCGGCTGGAGAAGCAAAGAGACGGCGAGCTCCGCACCTCTAGGTTGCTGCTGCAAAACCAACCGTCGACTCGTCGCTAGTCGCCAAACCTCGCCGGACATCGCCACCTCCGGTACCTCCAACCCCAGGTCAGTGAGATTCTCCGGTTCAGCGGCCTCTCACATTGTCGGGTGCTTAGATCCGAGCTGCCGGCGTCGCCGCCGTCCTCTGCTTTCGATGCTAGAAAGACAGATCTGCATCACCCTGCTTTCACCATTAGTAATTGCGTTGCCCAGTCGATCTCATTGCCTCATCATCCTCCACTGCTTCGTCATCGCCTCCATCCCCGCCGTTGTGCCCTCTCGCCCATCACTCGTCGCCACCGGCCATTGCTCTAGTCATCGTGGAATGAGCAAAGGCAAGGTAGAGAGAAGAATTTTTTTTAACATGCGAAGAAACGAGATTAAAATGGGCAAGGAGTGAGATCGTTTAGAAAACGTCGACTGGGGTCATAGGGTAAATGAAAAGAAGAGAAGTGAAGAGGAGGAAAAGGAGTGAGGTCTTAGGGTAAATGAAAGTTTTGTTGGGGGAGAAGGAATTTCAAGTTTTGGGCGGGCTGAAATTTGAGGTCTAAAAAATGAGAGAGATTTATAAGTGGATAATTAAAAAATTGGACGAGACTGAAATTTGGGTGGGGAAAAAATGTGTCGACCGCGGTGATTGGTTTCAGTCTAACAAAAGCAAATCTGACGAAAATGCATTTGTCAAAAATGAAACC